AAACAAAGAAAGAAAGAGAATCTGATCATCTGGGGACTCCAGCTATCTTGGAATATGCTGAATCCATATTTTTTTGGTTGGGTGGTTCCTCTGTTAATTTTAGACCCAATTATTGCCTATAACTTGAGTCTTTTAAAATATTATTCAATAAAAACAGACTTTTAATGTGCATGTGGAGGCCGGTACGGTGGTGCACCCCTGTAATCCCAGCACTTTGGGAGGCCAAGGATGGCCAATTGCATGAGTTAATGAGTTTGAGACAAGCCTGGGAAACATGGTGAGACTCCATCTCTACAAAAAATAAAAAATTAGCCGGCATAGTGGTGTATGCCTGTAGTCCCAGCAACTCAGGAGGCTGAGGTGAAGGGATAGCTTGAGCCCTGGAGGTCAAGGCTGCAGTAAGCTGTGTCTGAGCCACTGCATTCTGGCCTGGGAGACAAAGTGAGGCCCTACCTCCAAAACAACGTGCATATGGTATTTTTTGACACTATCATTAAGCATTTTATTTATACATACTCAGCGGACAACAGATAATTGTCTTCTCTTAAAAGCACTTGTGAATACCAACAAAAGGTAGTAAGGCAAACAGTGGGATGCTAACTTTAGTTTTTAAAGGTAAGATGTAATTTATGGATAATTTACATATATATTTGCTATATTGTTCTTCTTATGAAGGAAGCTTATAGAATCATATTTTTTCTTTCCAAAGACTGGCATTTAGAAGATGCATCTAAGCATTTTTACAGTTCCATAATGCTATGGGTTCGTGTATCAGAAGAGAATTGCTATGCCATAGAAAGAAAGCATTTTTGCAACCCTAATCATGTATGAGCAACTATTTTCATATAATGTTAACCAATGTCGAGAGAAAAAATGAAAAAACTCTGCATACCAGGAAAACCTAGAGAAATGCAGATTTAACATTTTTCAGTTTATCAGATTTTTTGGAGAATGCTTATAATGACACATGGTTTTCAGTTATTTGGTGTTTCTCAACTCTACATTTGCTTGGGACTGTTCCCTCAATGAACTCAACATTTTCAAAAGATTGAAGATTTTTTTTTATTTTCTGAACACAGAGAAGTGTGGAGAAAAAAACTAATTTCAGTTTTCTTTATTCCCAGATTGCTCCTGTGTTTCATAGATGGGAGAGCATACTGATGACTCAACCATCTACAGTGTTATTTTGCTGGTTCATGCTACCTCAGCAAAAGTAGCAAGGCTAATTCTTTTTCTCTACACGATAAAAACCTATTACGTTTATTGAGAAACCTACCAGTTGATAGGCACATATTTATTTCAGGACAATCTATAGCTCCTAAAATACTATCGATGACCTTGACCTTTAGCTGGATTCCAAGAACAGAATACGCAAAACTCATTTTTTTCCCAGTTTCATAATTTTGGCATCCATGTACTTTTTTAGACAAGCTTAGGCTGCCTTTGCTTGGCTATGATAGATATTTTAGAATATCTCTGAGTCATGAATATAAATAGTTGTGCAAAAATAAATTTCATAAAGCCAGAGCTGGTAACAAAAATCACCTAGAGATCAACAACTCTGAAAGAATCTAATGTCAGATTCCATAGAATGCCAGATTAAACTAACATGTGCCAGTCAGTATTGCTACACTGCGACCCTTGATGGCTCCTAAGCAAAACTATTAAGTCCAACATTCTCTCCTGTAAGCACTTATCTGTAAGGATGGCTAACATGTCCTCTGAAGCAGATATTGAAACTGATTGGACAATAGGTAGATACCAGACAGGGGCCTGGGGGCCGACCTGTAGAAATAGGGGGAGAAAATCTTAATCTGCAACACAATGCCATTCTCTTGAAACCCTATCATTTTCACTTCCCATGTGTCTGCTGCCTGACTGTGAATGGATTTGAAAAGGAATGGTTAGTGCTGAAAATTGGATCAGAGCTAACATTCTCTCATTTTTATCAGCAGCTGCCAAAGGTCATCTGACATAATAGCTGATGAATTCAAGCCCAGTGGATTTCATTTGCAATTTTCAATTTACTGAGGCCTCCAAACCCCACGGTGATAAAAGCTTCCCCTATCGTGGCCTGTCACAAACATCAAGAAACTGCACAAACCCACAAGAAAGAAAAAAGAGGGAGCTGTGCATCATCACAGCTATAGATAAGGAGAACAGGAAGAAATGGCATCAAGCAGGAAGGTGGGGAGCAGCCTGTGTGGCTAGTTCTCTAAATGCCAATTGAAAGGAAAAGACTATGAGGACCAATCAAATAACTTCCACAGAATAACAACATGTTTCTTTGGAGCTTTTGTGTGAAAACTGCCTTCTAATCTCTGACGTGACATGCTCCCACACAAAAGTGTAAGTGTAAATATGCAAATAAGTAAATGAATAAATTGTCCTTGCTTACCTGGTCATTGGAAAGCATGCTGTCTATGCTGTATTTACCATAGTTTTTCTTTACAAAATGCGTGCTCTCTAATCATGGAAGTGTAGGCTCAGCACTGAGAAATCAATTTTCTTAATTTTTTTTGCAGAGAAATGGTAGATCTTTTGATTGATTTGCCAGGGAAGTCAAAGGACTGACACAGCAACTGCTTGTAAGGGGATCTAGATGTGGTACATATCAAAGATGCATTAGCAAGAAGAAGAAAGCCATTTTCCCCCTTATCAAAGTATTTACAATGAACTTAGGCAGGATTAGGAGCTGACTCCTCTTCCCAGGCAATTGTTCAAATTGAGGAAACCACACGTGTGTTTCTTGGAGAATGGCAAGTTTGATGACTCAGCAGGTCACCTTCATCCGACCCTACTTGACTCACACCATTGCCTGGCAAAGAAGAAAGCAAAGAGATGTCCACTGTTAGAGGTGGAGCTGCTGGGAGAATTCCATTTCAAACATGGATGTCTTGATCCTATTTCTGCCAAATAGATTCAGGAAGGCTTATGAAGTGTGTCTGGTGCGGTAAGAGGACTTGGCAGTCGTCATGTGCTAATCTGCCGAATGCCAAAATTTCTGATGACCCTTGACAAGAAAACCTGAGAATGATATCAACAGGACCAGAATGTTAACTTTGTTTGTGTGTTGCTGACTGTGTGGCAATCAGAGTTTGGAAGGGAAAAGAGAGTAATTCCTGGTGGAACTCATACGACAGTGACAGGTTGCCTACTGTAGAGTTAGACTTTAAATTGTCACAGCAAAAATGAAAGTAGGAGCTATTTATTGTAAGTGAACTCTGAGTTCTTTGAAATTAAACTGTTTCTTAAGATTCTTCTATTAGCAGAAAGTTTAACAGCCTTTTAATTCTTCAAAGTCTCAAAATAGAAAATAGTTTCCTCGGTAGTTGAAAATGGCAGGAATTAACATTTTGAAATAAGAGAAATAAAACTTTATTCTAAAGCTGCACAAAATGTGGAAAGAAACAATACTTTAGCATTCTAGTATTTTTCCCCTACACAAAATTATGCCATTTTTAAGGTTGCTTTCACCCCACCTTTTTTTTTTTTTCAGGTTCAGTGACAGCTCTCTCTGATTTGCATTTTCCATGGATTCTCTTTCAATTGATAGCATAATACTGAGACCCCACTGGTGGTAAAATATTATTTAATGGGATCTTAATTTAGACCGTCTTCTCAAAAATACACACAATTTGGTAAGAGCTTTTCATTATCACTGTTGTTCTATGGCAGTGATATAAGGCAAGCTGTACCAATTGGTCTGCAGTTACATAGCATAAAGGTTAATCTCTTTTATGCTCTTTTTACTAGAAAGGCAGATCTGAATCTTCAAGGCAGAGTCCTAAATTGTTCTTGTAGATGGATTTGTTCACAAAGACTCTTCACTCTAATATCCTATGGATAATTATAGTCAGTCAGCCCAGAGTATTCACTATAGTTTGAATGGTACGAAAAGAGCATTTCTCATTTCATTAATTAATTCTTTCATCCCTTTATGTAGCATTTATTTAGCGCCTACTAAGCACAGGTTATCTTGAGGACTATAAGTAAGACTTTTCCCACTTTCAAGCAGTTTGCAAAAGACAGGAGTAAAGAATTTTAAATTTATCTTCTTTCTTACCCCCACCCCCAGAACTGAATTGTCATATACCTGTTAAAACTTTAAATAATAAAAAAATTATACTGAGAATTTGACCTTGGATATCTGGATAACATCTTATTTTGTGTTTCCCATTTTTTGGTAATATGCGCATCACCATAACTTTTTTTTTTTTCCAAATCGATATACAATCTATTCTTACTTACTAAATAACTTTTCTTTGAATTCAGCTTTAAAAAGTTAAATAAATTAAGTTAGGAAGGCATCATTAGATATACTACCACAAATGGAAAGACTGTATCACAAGCTATGAATAAAAAATAATTATAAATAAAAGTGTATAACTCTTATTATTGTATCAGCACCTACATTATCTCATGTTTCGTGGGCAGTAAAAGCATCACTCTGGAAAATACTGGCTTTGTGCATGTGCTGGTAAAGATGACTGTTGCAGATTTGACTGCCATAAGAACGGGAGCTCTGTGAGAACAAGTACTTTGAGCTTTTTCTTGCTGTACTCCAGCTGCTAGAACAATGCCTAGCAAATATGTGATGCTAAAACATACTTTTAAAATAAATAAGAGCCAGTTAGCTTCTGAAAGATCAAGTTGTATCTCTCCTGTAGCCATACTCCTTGTGCTTTGTAACAATTACTTGAATGTTTCTCATAATCACTGCACTTGTCAAAAGCTTTGTTTTTCTTGTTCACTTCTGTTATAATCATTAATGCCTAGAATTACGTCAGGAACATAGTAGGTGCTTAACAAATATTCATTGAGCAAAGAGGCTTGCCATTCTAAAGTCATACAGTTTCTGCTGCCTCCCTGGTCATTTTTAATTAAAGGAGCTCAATTGGGCCAATATTGGCTTAAAGCTATTCAACATCTGGCACACTAAAAAAAAAACTTAGTTGAATAAAGGAAAGAACATTTTTGTGACACCAGAAAAGAGAGGGTTAACTCTGTTTATAAAAGACAGACCTTAAAAGGAGAACAGATAATTCTTTTCAATGCTTAGCTGTAGTGCCAATTTTCAATTCTTGAATAAGTCACCCCGGCAAGGTTTTCTTACAATTTTACAAATTAAGATTGCACTAAAATTTATGTGTTTGTAGAAAAACTGACAAATATCGAGGTCAGCAAATTATACCAAAGGGTACCAGCCAGTGATTTGACGGTATATTTTTATTTAAATTGCTTTTATGAATTCCTTGATTTACTTAAGAATCAAGCATCCTGACTAGACAAGTGATATTTACAAAGTGTGAGTTTATGTTTTTCTATTACAAAGACATCCATAAGAAGAAGTAGTGAAGAATCAGCAGCATTTCTTGGTCCCCACCTCCAAAGGAGTATTGTCAATCACCGCCCAAAACATAAGCTTTCGTAGGTTTTGGATGCTGTGAACTGGAAAACAACTATTTTAGTGGATAATTAAAGGGTGTTACAACTGATTGAGCTTGTGTAGAATCAGAAAATTGGTGGGACTGGAATGGACATATAGGTCACAACACTTCTTTTGTAATATTTTCTACTGCAAATGATTCTTCAGTTGAAAAATCAAGGCTCGAGCTAAGGTATCACGTATGACATGAAAATCAAACACTGAGAGAACTCTGTTTATCATTTAACAAATCAGACTCAGCTTGAAGAATGGTTTCTCTAATAGACTAATTCCTTCTCATAAATCTACTGAATGAATTACATATAACCAGTTTCATCTGAGTAAATCTTTATTTCTCTAATCTGTGCTATATGGAGTAGGCGTCAATAAGATATCAATGAACATTTTGTTGAAAAAAAATTTGGGGTCAGAAAAGTTTGGAAAATTTTGGGTTGAACAGCTTTCTTCTGATGAGTGTGTTCCCTGAGAGGAGGTAAGTCATGCAAAGCCTTGTAAGTTATAAAGAATTTTTTAAAGCTTTTCTTTTAGTGAGACAAGAAACCATTAGAGGATTTTGAACCAAAAAAGTGGCACGATACGACAGATGTTCAAAAGAGTCACCTTGACTATTGTGTGAATAGATAGAAGTGTGTTGGGGTGGAAGCAGGAAGAATAGTTAAGTCTTTTGCAATAAAATTGGCAAGAGATGACAGGAATTTACACTTCCTGAAATGGCAATCTGATCTGTTTAGTATCAACTTTCCTAATAAGAATGACTGGTTAAACAGGACAAAATGTATTTTTTGAATCCAGTAAAAGACATTTAAGAAGCTCTCAAGAAAGTGAAGATTTGTGGGTCCAATATCTAGGGAAAGAGGAAACCTAGAGAACTGAGTCCAACATTTGTTTGGCTCTCCCCTTCCAAGTGTTTGCCAATTCTAAAAGCATTGCAAAGAGGGCAAGAAGTTGTGAAAAGCTTTCAGGACTCTCAGAGCCGACCAAGGACACAATAACCCAAGACTGGTTTGTGAACCAGAAAGTCTGGGTTATGAGAGTAAAATTAACCTAGAACTAGGTTACAGGGATTAAAGCCAAGCTTTGAATAGATTTATTTCCTAGTTAATCACATTTCAAGGTGACATGAGATCAGGGGTGGTCATAGCCTAAATTTTTGCCAGAAACAAAAGTAACTTGTCTCTAAAGAAAGATAATGTTACCAGAAGCTTCAAAATATCTTAAAAATAATGAGGGAGATGAGAAAAAATGACATGACAAAAAGTAGATACTAGAAATAAATACACTGGAGATTATGGATAATGAAGTTATCAGACACAAATTTAAAAATAATTATGCTCCATATGTCCAAGGAATTAAAAGGCAAGATGAAGAATTTTAACAGGAAACTGAAAACTATAAAAGAGAATCAAACAAAAATTTTAGAAATAAAAATATAATAATTGGGTTTAATAGCAGATTAGATACAGTTTAAGAAAGCATTTATGAAGTAGAAGACAGTACAAAAAACATCAGATAAGCATGGAGAGACAAAAGAATGGAAAATACAGAAAAAATATAAAAGGTATTTCAGATACATTTGTAGAAGAGACAAGAGGAATAGGTAAGAGGCAATATTTGAAGAGATAATAGCTGAGAACTTTCTAAACTATTAAAAGATATCAAGCCACATTTTAAACAAGCATGGTAAACACTACACAGAATAACCACGAAGACAGCCTGAGTTAGGCTGTTTGCATTGCTCTAGAGGAAAACCTCAGGTTGGGCAATTTTTAAATAAAAGAGGTTTATTTTGGCTCATGGTTCTGCAGGCTAGTACGGAAGTATGGCACTGGCATCCGCACCTGGTGAGGGCTCGAGAAGCTTCTAATCACGGCATAAGGCAAATGGGGAGCCAGGGTAGCACATGGCAAGAGCAGGAGCAGGAAAACGAAGCTAGGCCCTTGCAGAGTGAGCACCTACTTAGAGCTGCCAAGGCAGCACCAAGCCATTTCTGAGGAATCTGTTCTCATGACTCAAACACCTCCCAGTAGGTCCAACTCCAGGATTGGAGGTCACATTTCAACGTAAGATTTGGAGTGTACAAACCATCCAAATCATCTCACAACTACCTCTAAGCACATAATAGTGAAAGGACTGAAAACCAATTCAGGGAGAAAATCATAAAAGCAGAAAGAAAAAAAGCCCGTATTACCTTAAGAGGCAAAAATAAGATAGCTGTTTTCTCAAAAGAAAAAATGAAAGCCAGCACACAAATGAATTATGTTTTTAAGATACTGAAAGAACTTTGCTGTCAACCTATAATTTTATACTCAGTGAGAATCTCTTTTAAAAATGAAGCCACTCTCAAAGAAGAATAAAAAATAAATAAATCAACATACTTATGAATTTTACAATAATAAAAGTTTCAACCCACCAAAAAGATTTAAAATTCTGACTTTGTACACACCTAATGACATAGCTTGAAAAATATGTAAAGCAAAACTGGACAAAATTAAAAGAAGAAATAGACAAATTTGCAATCACAGTGGAATAATTCAACACACCTCTCTCAATAACTGATAAAACAAGAAGACAAAAAACAGGAACAGAAGATTTAAATACAATTAACAAACTGAACATTTACCCCCAAACTGCTTTCTTTTCAAGTGCACATGGAACATTTGTTCAAACTGATGTAAACTATAAAGCAAAGAAATAAAAAAGCTCAAATTAATTCAGAGCATTTTATCTGACTACACTGGATATATACTAGATGTCAATAACAATAACAAGCCTAAAAAATTCACAAAATTGAGTTAAACAATAAGCTACTAAATGTGCAAGGGGGTCAAGGAAGAAATCACTCTGGAAATTAGAAAATATTTGAATTGAAGAATAATGAAAATGATACATGTCAAAAGCTGTGGACTCAACTAAAGCTATGCTTTGAGGGACATTTATATATATGTATATATTAAATAATGTACATTAGATGAGAATAAAGATTAAAATAAGTATTTAAGCATCTACCTCAAGAAGTTAGCAAAGAAAAAGAAAATTAAATCTATAGAAAGTAAGATTGATTAAAAAAAAAAAGGAGAAAAGAGAGAGAAGTGTTGACCTACTCAATAGTAGGACAATACTACAGATCTTACAGATGTAAAACTGACAAATTACAAGATTATAAACAGTATTATGCCAATACATATACAAAATCAGATGAGGTGTACAGTCTTAGAAAGGTATAACTGACTAAGAGGAAATTTTAAAAATCCAAATAGTACTATATTAAAGAGACTGGATCTATAGTTTTAAACACCAGGCCTAGATGGCGTCATCAATGAATTCTATCAAACTTTTAAGGAAGACATAAACCTCAAATTACACAAAATCCTCCTAAAAGAATAGAAAAGAGGGAAAACTTTCTAACACATTTCATGAAGCCAGCATAGCCTTGATATCAAAACTTAATATGAATATTATAAAAAATAAAATTACAGAGCAATTTCTCTCTTTCCCCTCTCCCCATTTATTTATTTCTCTCCTCTTTTTCTCAGGAACATAGATACCAAAAGTCCAAACAAAATATTAGTAGACCAAATCTAGGAATGTTTACAAAGGTAAACCATGACCAAACTGAGCTTATCTCAGTAATTCAAGGCTGGCTTAATATTTGAAAATCATTTCTTTTAAATAATCACATTAATGAAATAATTGGGAGAAAAATCATGTGGTAATTTTAGTAGGTCCAGAAATAGCAATGGATAAAATTCAACGCCCATTCATGTTAAGCATTTTTAGCAAACCAGAAATAGGCAGTACTACGGATCGAATGTTTGCATCCCTCTGAAATTCATGTGTTGGGACCTATCCCCCAATGTGATGGTATTTGGAGATGAGGTCTTTGGACGGTAATAAGGGGTGCGTGAGGTCATAGGCTTTCATGATGGCATTCATGCCCTTTAAAGAAGTGATACCAGAGAGCTTGCTCTCTTTTTCTCCACATACACACATCATGGAAAAGCCCATGTGAGGACACGGTGAGAAGGCAGCAGTCTGAAAGCCAGGAAGAAAACCCTCCTCAGCCCCTGACCATGCTGGCACCCTGATCTCAGGCTTCCAGGCTTCAGAATTATGAGAAAATTAATTTCTGTTATTTAAGACACCCAGTCGGTAGCATTTTTTTATGGCAGCCTGAAAAGACTAAGACAGGAGGGAATTTCCTTAAACTGAGAAGAGGCATCTACAAAAAAACCTACAGAAAGTATGATAATAAATAAAATCTTAAAAGAGTTCCCTCTGAAATGTACAATGACACATAGATGTCCTTTATTACTACTTTTCAGCATTGTGTTGGGGGTGCTTAGGCAATGGAATAAGGCAAGAAAAATAAAAGGTATAATGTTTAGAAAGGAAGAAATAAAATTACCATTATTTGCAGATGACATAATTGTATATGTAGAAAATACAAAATAATAAACAAATAAGCTCTTGGAATTAATGTTTTAAAAGAATGTTGGATACAAAGTCAATATATAAAAATAAATTGTATTTCTA